AAAATTCTACTGACAGTCCTTCTTCACCTCAAATGAAATAGGGTGAATACATCCCATATTACTAATTTACTAGTAGCATCAAAACTCAACTTACATACGAAAAATAGAAAGTGCGATTTAATTTAACGCACGTACACACAAACTCTAGCAAAAGTCGCATGACCAGCATGAAAGTTAATTAGAGTTAATTTAGAGTCGGAAATTTCTTGACAATTCCTGATGGACAAAAGCTCAGCCCGTTTTTATCTGAAACGAGGGCTGATGCCTCGTAAACTGCGTCAAACTGAACGTCATATCAAAGCCAAATATCAGCCGTCGTCTTATGGTAAAACTGATTTTTGCATCTCTTCATAATGCACTTTCAAGAGAAATAAAAGTCTCTTCGACAGATTTCACATGCTGACAACAGATTAGTTCTTAAAATGTTTTAGTGAATTACTGAGGAACTTTATTTTTTAACAATGTATGAGGAAATAATAATACTTTCCTTCTTTTTGATAACATTCAGGCTTAACCCTCGATTGGGATTTTGTGTAGTTTTCTGTTTATTCGGTAGCTCTTAGATGAAGAGAACTGTCGACCTATGCTCTCTTAAATGTTTGAATACAAGATGGCCTGCAAAGTTTAGCAAGCCAAAGAATCTAAGGACAGACAGAGAGCGTTGGAAAGTATGAGATAGTTTCTGAGAAACTCAAACAGTTTTCAGCTAAAAGCTAAAAAATAAGTGACCAGCATTCTGAATTCAAGTAATCGTTGTACGATTCTGAGGGGAGAAGCTGTAAGGTGAACCGGTGAATATAAGGATAAGGCTTAATTAGTTTAGACCTAGTTAGATTTCCTGATTAGCATAGCAAACATTCGAACCGCGTATAACCACACAATAAAGCATACAGTAATAGTGATTAGACACACTGTGGGTGATTTAGTTAATGAAACGGATATTCAAGAAGATCCACATTAACTTTACTCATCTGTAAAAGGGGTAAGCAGAAGCATGAGGTAGCCAACCAAATCATGCTTCATTAAGAAGGCAAAATTAGGTTATAAGAACTAGGAAAGATTGAAGTTGGCCCCAATTCTTGGTATATGCTTTCCATTAATTTTTTAACATCAACTTTTCTCATCAACTTTGCCTGTAGGGGCTAAACAGACAAATCTTCAGCTTGGAGTACTCAGGGTCGCGAGCTCTTTATGCTTAAGGCAATATTAACAAATCTGAGTCAGACTTATTTTTCAGTTTCCGGCGATGATAATTAACTAAGCCTTGCAAGAAAAATGTTGATATTAGAGAATCGGAGCAATTACATGAAGCAATCTTATTATTTTAGTAGAATAGCTTAAATATACATGTCAAATCTAGCTCTACTTTGAAAGATTAATAAGGTGAACTTAATAATTAATTTTTTAATCCGAATATCCATATTTGTTTTTCAGTAGAAAGAAGTAAGAGAATCGGTATTGGAAACTAATTCACAGCGCTGAATCACTGAAATTTGAGCTTTTCTCGATGACCAAGCTAGTAAAGATGTATTATTAATAAAGTGTAATTCCATAAGGATTGAGTATAGATTAAGCAACTCATAGGAAATTACTTCGTAACTATTATTGTCTTCACTTTACTTATGGTTATAGCTGTTAGGCTAGTATTGTACACTAAGAGCTAAATTAGCATATTTGTGTGTACCTCTTCACTGATCCGAAGTTCAAGAGCCCATTATTGGCAGATTCCGTTAAAAACTGAATTCTTCATATTTCTACTGCGAGAAAAGCAAGGTAAGAAGTAAATAAGAGGCTCAATTTTCCATCACACTCATTAGCGCACCAAAAATATAGGACAATATTTCACTCCAAATAAAGAGGATGTAGGGAAAGTTAATGCTAGAAATTGTTGAATTGAATGCGCTGTTATAATTTGCCAAATGCAAGCCATATGACCGCAAAAAGGAAAAATTAAGTCTGAAATGACAAAATATATTCACATTAACAATTATTGGCTGATATATAAAATTAACCATAGTCTCAGAGATCTATATGACAGTGGTTGTATATCTCTTTGAATTTCGTTTAAATGCCGTATATTTGATTTTTTCAGCGTCGAATACTGCTGGGGTTATTAATGATACCTGAACTAGGTAAAAACTAGAGTCTACCCTACATAAGATCAATTTTAAGGAGGCACAGCTAGATTAAATAATATTGCAATTTCATGATTATTCTTAAATAATGATTGATTTTATAATTAAAATTAGCCGCCATACTGAGAAAATGTTTTTTTTAATTGGATTTACGACGAGTAAACTATGAAACAAAATTCAAGAAGAGAATGATTAATGGGAGTTGTACAAGTACAATGTGATAATGATACACCTCATGCAATTCTCTTTAAAGCCGAGATTCCCAACTTAAGCATTAAGAATAATGGGAATGAATATTTTAAAAAATAAATCAGGCAAGCGTGTTTGAATAATTTAGTTTAGCGTGGTTCTTATTTTAACGGCTTCTTAAATATCAAATAGTGGATAATAGACATTCTTCACACATCATCAACACAAAATATTTTGTTAAGGATGAAATTAAATCTGATCATCTACTTTTATTGATCAAATTAAGGAATATTTGTTTGATTGTATGAATTTATTACGAATATTACTTTAGGTCTAATTTTTTTATAATGAATTTTATTTATGTGGTTTACATGGTCACTTTCATTATGGCTGTGTAAAGTAAAGTGTCTCATTTGCTACAATTTGACTTCACAATCATATATAAAATATTCTCTCCTATAAGGATAGTTTAAAGGCTATCCTGAGATTAGCAAAAATTGGAATGCTGTCATCAGTGGTTGATTTAAATTTTATGGATGCTGTTAAAAAGTTAGGATAAAGATGAGAGTAAATATCAGTGAAATGGTCAAATTATTTTATCTATAGTGCATAATATCACAAAAATATCCCAAGAATCCTAAAATCAGGTATATACTGTTGATTTTATTTTGTGGCCCGGTATGTATAACTGCTTGGGCTAAAGTTGATAAGTCAATTATCTATTTAAAAGTAGCTGGTTTGCCCTTGTGTTGCGCTCCAACGATTCATTTTTATTTTAGCAATAGCTTCGTTGATAAAACTTTATCAAAATTGGCAATTTTTAGTTGAATATCCTCCTCATTCTCACAGGTATAGGCAAGTATGAATGTGAAACAATTTTATACTGGTTAAGAGTTGGATATAAAAACCACTATCAAAAAGCTATCCACCAATGTCGATATCAGACGAATGACAAGATGAGTTTACTTTTGCTAGTATTATATAAGTTGTGTTCACGCTATTTCATTTAAGGTGATGAAAGACTGGTAGTTCCCACAATAATATTAGTAGAGCTGATATTTTATATTAAATTTCACATAGTCTTGCTTTTTCCCAAAGCGTTCTCATCAAGAGTAGACCTGGTTTTCGATCTCTCATAAGTCTTATTAACACCCCAAACGGGAGTCGAACGATGACAATGCAGCGTGTAAGCTCGACACGTTAATAATTACGCTACATTGAGTCACAGGAAAGATGTTGATTTCAAAGAAATTCAGGGATTTTTTCTATCGCATCCTGTGTTGAAATTGTCGATGAAACAAACTTATATTTGCTATATCAATCAAGGGCATTACTTTTTTCGTGAGTGAGTAGGTTTTCGAGACTACCAGTACATCATATATATGAGTTGTGTTCACCCTATTTCGTTTAGGATGATGAAGGATTGGTAGTTGAATTTTCTCTTAATGAAAGGATTAGAGCTGACTGCTTACTAACAAAAAATGTAATGTCATCAACTGTTATAGCAAGTATAAGTTTACTTCATCGACAACCTCATCGCAGAGTGTGATATGGAAAATGCTTGACATCCCTTGAAATTCACATCTGCACTTTGTGGCTGATTGGGTAATCTGTCGAGCTTAGACGCCACACTTTCATGGCTCGATTCCAGCTTGGGGTATTGATAAGAAGTAGGCGAGTTCAAAACTGCAGTCCACTCCAGCCAGGATGGAAACAACATTTGGGAAAGCAAGTCTATGTGAAATTCTAGTAAAAACATCAGCTCTACTCATGTAATTGTGGGAAGGTTCAATCACCAGTCCTTCATCACCTTAAACGAAATAGGATGAGCATAACTCATATATCCGATTTACTGATAGTCACTAAGGCTAATAATCACTAGCTTAATAACGAAGCTAACAAACATAGGCTGTATTTCTATTGAAATGTACTAATCGCTTTTGGCGACACTTTGACGAAACTTGTTTTCGGATTGATAGAAAGCTATATTTTTGCCAAAATATTCTAAAGAGAGAGAATTCTTTGTCTTGAATGTGTAAATATTTTGCACATTTCCTTGTGTAATTTGGTTTTGTTGAGCTTACTTCCATTTCGAGTGAAAGTGTTGGGGGAAGAGATTTGAAGGTCGGTTCCATCAGAAGATGACGGCCGATTCCTCTTGACCAGCTGTCGATTGGCTTTGCTGGAACATTCATGCTGACGCTTTATCCGAGGCAATCTTGTTCGATTCCGGTGAAATGGTGCTAAGCTTTTGTGCGTCATATGACAGACATCATCAGAGCGAGGTAACGTCGTCACAAAAAAATTAAAGCTAACGAGTCAAGAAAACTTGACTAGTGTCTGTCATATGACGCACGAAAGCTTAGCACCTTTTCACCGGAATCAAGGGAGATTGCCTCGGAAATAGCGTCAGCAAGAATCTTCTAGTAAAGCCAATCGACAGTTAGTCAAGAGGAATCCGCCGTCGTCTTCTGGTGGAACCAACCTTCACTCTAAATGGAAGTAATCTCAACGATTATGAAACAAGAGATTCCTCGAAACCCAACTTTTCTTCGCATAATTTAGTCTTTCCTGACAATGCTAATGACTTTATTTGTAAATTCAAGTACAACATATAACGATATTTGATGTTTCTGTAAAAATTCTCCGTAAGTGTACTTAACTATCAAACATGTGTTAAGATAATTTCTTATAATCTTGCATTTTATCAAAAATCTGATTATTAAACCCCAATTTTCTGCCTACCATTTGCTGCATAGAGCTGACAGTGGACTCCAAAACATTTACGCCTTTTTTCAGCTTGGTTGTAAACTCTTTCACTATCCTCTCCGTCATTCTGCTAAAAAGTGTTGTAAGTTTTTGGCTTTTTGCAGACAGCTCATTTAACCCATCCCATTCATCATCATCTGATTCTTTAGGATCCATCATCTCTAACTCTCCTTCCATATTGAACAGATCAGCTGTTCCCATCCTGTGGAGATCGCGAGTCATGTTGTTCGAGAGTTCCATGAGACATTCAAGTGTACTTGCTCCCGATTGTAGATTGCGTGTGATGGTAGTCACCGGACCTGTCACAGTAATGTAGAGCAGTTCGGCGGCCATAAATGACTGGCCAGCACTTAAGCCGAGTGATGGGACGAGAAGAGTGAGAAAACAGCGCACCCGACGAGACATTGTGCTGGCCAGACTAAAAGCGAAGTAAAGCAGGACTCGAGCAATCAAGAAGAGGCGTCTGGTGGTGGAAACTCTGGCGGTTTCTGCCTTCTGTTCCCAAGTTGACCGTCCTTTACGCAGATCCTCAGCGTCGGGCTTGCCCTGTTTTCCGGCCGAAAAAGCAGGAGATTTGCTGGCCCCACTGGCCTCGACTGGTGCCACAATATTCGATGGATTCGGTATAAAGGCGTAGCTGAGTATGATAGCCATGACAAGACCATATACAGCAGAAAAAAGTATGCGTGTGAGGTACACAAGGTAGCTGCGATAGGCTGAATTCCCATCTGGGTCGTGGAATACATTTCCGTCGGCGTAGAGAAGAGCCTCAACAAATGGCAGATATTTTCTAAAGAATCTACGCATTCTGCTCGTAGAATAAGTTCCTGTAATTCACAACGTTAAATTGTATTTGATCCTTAATTGAGCAAATTTGTGCATATTAAATAAAATTTTAATTAATCGAAAAATTGCTATATTTCCTAAAATTAGTTATCTTAAACACTTTTATCATCCTTTATTTAGTATCTTGTCGTACTTTGGCATATGTTTTAATATTTTTGGAACCAGCAAATTTTAGCCCTAAATATAAATATATATGCTTCTATACCAAACCCCTTCAACCATCGAAATTGTCTATTCTCTTTTACAACTTACGATGGAACCCAGCACTTCTGAAAAATATAACCTGGTACATCTCCCTTCCCCCTCGGTTACAGCATATTCTTTACTTTTTTTCTGATTTTACTTCAGGCCTTACTCTACCATTCGCCGAATTCCTGCCTATTATATTCGCTAATGATTAAGGACAAAATATTATCTATTATTACCAATCATAGTATATATTTTTGAATTTACATGTTGAATATTGGCCTACATTGAACTCCTGGTCTTTGACATGAAGGTTTAGAGCTTGGTGAAAAGAATTTTTGCCTAGCTTCTTAATACTAATCTAAATTAATCCCTCAAGCTGCTAGCTCACAAGTAGATATATATATGTGTGTTTTAAGTTCAATTTATTAAGATAACAAAGTGAAAAATAAATATATTGAATATTTTAAGGGATCTAATTTTTATTAATTATCCTAAGATACAGTGTAGTAATGGATTGTCACCCTAACACAACTGAATCCTTTCGGAGACCGTTTTGGCTTTTATGGAATTAAATAAAATGTGTTGGATATTAAAACCAAGATTTTGTTTTCTCTATTTTTGTCTAAGCCTACTTTTTGCTGTATAAGACTTTTCTGATTTTGTTTTCACAATATAATCATGCTACCAGCGAGACTGAATTGATTGCATAATGTCTGATATCCTCTGCTATTGAAGTTGTGATAAGCTCCAGCTCTAGACCGTGAAAGTGGTACAGTTCAAGACGGTCTGCTGGCAGATTAGTCGTCCTCATTATTCAGTTTTTCCATTCTTAGCACTTAGCTGCAACTTGTCACAGAGCAAAGTAAAGTCCATCTCCTGAATATATTTCTATCAATTTCTTGTTCAATCACTCCTCCTTCTGTCCTAGTAAATCTGCCTACGTCCTACCCTCTCATCTTACTTTCTCGCTATCGCAATTCGAAATTTGTTTATACTTCATTCCTCGAATGAATTTATAGACCTTTATAACCTTTCGCTACTTTGTGTTTTCACCAGATGAAACCCTTCTTTCTGCTGTGCTACAATTGTTCTCATGTCCAGTCTGTGCAATGTGTTCCGCTATTTTCGATCTTTCGGTAACCTTTTTTACTGCAAGGTCTTTACTGCCTATTCATTTGTATGACATTTTTTCTACCTGCTTCGCTAATGTATTTCTGTTTGCAGAAGATGCCTGTCATGCAATAAACTCCCAAGCAATCCTATTTGTCTTTCCTCTCATGTTGCGTGGGTGAATTTATAAAGAGCGTTTTTTTCTTCGTGCTCACCTTACCCGTTCAGTTTATTTATGTTATTCTTAGATTTTTAGTTAATTCATAAATGGGAATTGCTCTCATTCATTATATTTCTTTTATAATTTCCGCCTTGTCATCTGCATTTCATGACCAGTAGATTTCTTGATATTCCTTCTCTCAGGTGTCCGTTTTCATGGAACATCCTAGTCAATTTTTGCAATTCCCAAAATTCAATTATATGCTTCTTATAATTATGCTCCTTTTTATTCATATCTTTATTCTGTAATTGTGATAAGACTGGAAGTTAATTATTATTCCGGCATATGACTTCTTACTGAACAATCATCTCTTGATTGCTTCTATTTGAGTGAATGACTCTTAAATCGAGGTAAAGTAACCTTCATCGTACATTTGATCCTTTCATCAATCTAGGTTATAGAGTCCAGGACTTTATCTATATTTTTATCTAATGCTATCTCAGTACAAAGTAGTCATCCAAGTATCACATACTCCCTCTTTGTTGCATCCATGACTACTCTAATTCCATATCTAATTTTTTTTTCTGTACAACTTTGCCAAAAGATATTAGCGCTGCGAATATTTGTTCATAGATGCTACAACTGAATGTAAATTTGATAAATCTTATTGATAATTTGATTAATCAAGTTAACGACTCTCTCCAAATCCTCTCTGCTTCCAGGATCTCTAGCAGAG